TTGAGGCTTGACTATGCAAACTCCCTGCTTGTCAGCCTCCGTGACCCTATCACCCCCATCCTCGCCCAACTCCACTGACTTCTCATCACACAGAGGATACAGTTCAAGATCTTGGTCCTCACCCTCAAAGCCCTCCATGGTCTCGCTCCCCCGACCTCTGCCACCTCCTAACCCCTACCATCCTGCTCGCTCCCTCCGCTCAGAGGGCTCTGGCCTGCTACACGTCCCCTGCCTCGCTCGCCCCACTATTGGCGGGCAGGCCTTCTGCCACTCTGCCCCCACCCTCTGTAACTTCATCCCACAGTCCCCTCCATCTCGCCCCCTCCCTCACCTCCTTCAAGACCCATCTCAAGGCCCTCCTCTTTGACAGTGCCTTCGGTCACCTTCCTTCCCCCCCCTGCCCTCCACCCTCCCTGATCCTGACTCCTATTTCGGGTCCGAAACTCTGTCTGTATGTCCAGTGCCTCGTGACGTGAAAGGCGCTATACAAATATAATTTTGTTGTTATATTATATTATTATCATTTACAGATGGGGATGAACCCCATTGGCCTCACTCCTTTTGTGGTACCTTGAAAGCTCTCAGATTGTGAAGTCCGTAAACTTTAAAAAACATATTTTATTATTATTGGAATATTGGAATTTAAAACTGAAAATGTTTACCTGCTGAACAAGCAGGTTTCGGGCAGAAGATGCACAGGTCTATCCGGTTCTGTGTGGTGCTCAGCTTGCCATCGGTTTCCAGTGATTTTAAATCAGCCAATTGAATCAGGGATTGTGCCAACATAATTTTGGCTCGGTGTGAATTAAACTGTCTCCGTTCAGTAAATCCACCGCATTCTGTTTATCAATGAACACACACAAATAACATTTTTTAAAAGTGCAAAATAATATTCAAAATATAAAACTTTTTTAATGAATGGATGGATTCTGCAGCGTTGCTGCTTAGATTATAGGTGATGTGTTTCATCCAATTCTGCAAATTTGTCGACACTACTTTAATATGAGCAATATACCTCCGCTAAGATTGCACCAAGCTACAGAGCAGAAATTTATACTACACACAGGGAGTTGGTGTGACACTCACTCTCTCCCACTAGCAATTGACCAGTTGTTAGTTGATTGGCACATCGATTTCCAGGGATAATTATCCCTTCAAAAAAAAAAAATAATAATGTGGTCACTCAATCCACGACTGTTTGCGGAACACTGCTGTGCGAAACTGCCACTTTACAGTATATTTGAGATATGTCAATGACGTGATAAGGCACTGAATCAAATGCAAGGATTATTATTGTTATTAAAAGCTAAATTGTATCCTCTGACTGCAGAAGGATCTTGATGTCGCTCTTTAATTGTCCAGTTGTAGATAAAGCAGGACAGTCTGCAGTATAAATTCAGTTTGCATCTCAATATCACCACAGGCTTTGGCTTCCTCCACCCCTTCAGCACACAACAGGGACGTCTCTAGGATGGAATCTTTCTCTAAATTTTGAAAAAAAAGTTGATTTTTACCCATGTGTTTTTTTCTGTAATGCCATCCTCCTCATCACTAGTTCTCAACATCACTCACGCTCTGTAAATGTACGTCTTGGGACGTCTTCGCAATGTGAAACACGCTTTACAAGTGCAATTTGTTATTGTTAGCTAAAGATAATTACTCCTGCAACATTGACATGATAACGTCACAGTATTTTTCTTTGTAAAGTGCGCTGAGCGAGCTAAGTTTTGAAAACAAAATATCTGCTCACAATCTGCTTTGCAAACTAGAATTGGATCATTGCAACTCAACAGCTGGGAATATTCACTCCAATCTTAATTGGAGTATAAACTTGGTAATGTGGAGAATTATCTTGGCATCTGGTAGAGTGAGAATCTCATATCAAATGCAAGGATTATTATTGTATTATTATATTATTATTATGATCAGAAATTGGACAATGAGGAATGGCGACATGATTACCTTTGTTGAGCCTCCACACCGTACACATGAGAAGTCAACGCGGTCACAAAAGCCAACCGACATTTTAGCCAAAGACGGATATCTATGCGTTCGTGGGCTTCCACATTGTGGCACTGTTGGCCGGGGCTGCTGTCAGCATTCTTTTCCGGAGGCTGAGGGAAAAAAAGTCTTTACTGTGATAACAACAAAAAAAATGTGTGCAATTGGCTGCCGCGTTTCGTCCACAAAATAATAGCCACTACACTTTACAGTATATTCTGTGAAGCGCTTTGAGAAAGATTATTATTATTATCTGACAGAAGCTGAAGACATGATGTGATGCTGTCTTGGTGAGGCTCAGCACAGATGTTGGATTGATTGCTCGCTCTCCAGCGTACCTGGCTTGGGCTTGTTTTGGTTGCAGACATTTTGAGGAGGATGCGACTGAGCGAGTGAGTTTGTCCTTCGTGTAGATCTGACTTTTGTTGAGCAGCTCGATGGCAGAGAGAGCGATGGCAGCACTGAACAGGGGACACGACAGTTAATAATAATAATAATAATAATCCTTGAATTTGTCAATGGTTTAAATCAGCCGCAGTCTTGTCATAGAATCATAGAATCTTACAGGGATTCAGGCCATCGAGCTACCAACTAGTCCCACTCCCCCTCTTACCCCAACTAGTCCCCTCCCCTCTTACCTAGTCCCTCCCTCTTACCCCAACTAGTCCCCACTCCCCTCTTACCCCAACTAGTCCCACTCCCCCCTCTTACCCCAATAGTCCCACTCCCCCTTACCCAATAGTCCCACTCCCCCTTTACCCCAATAGTCCCCACTCCCCTCTTACCCCAATTAGTCCCCCTCCCCATAGTCACCCCTTCTTACCCAATTAGTCCCTCCCCATTCTTACCCCAATTAGTCCCCCTCCCCACTTACCCCAAATACTCCCACTCCCCGCTCTTACCCCAATTAGTCCCACTCCCCCACTCTTACCTCATAACCCTGCCACATTTTTACTTTCAAATACCTGTCCAATTCCCTTTACGTTTTGACATAATCTAATTGTAGATTGACTAATTAACACAATATGTACACAGCAATTTCCACGAACAGCTAAGGAGTAAATGACCAATTTTATTTGGGGGATTGTTGGCTAGCACACTGGGAGAGAGAAACTCTTCTCGAAGATGGGGCTCACACAAATATGTGCTGCATGTCTTTGTGTGAGCTCATCAACTCATTCTTATAATAATAATACTGCATTTGATATAACACCTTATCACATTGGTGCATTGTTGCAAAGCACTTAAATACCTAAATGCTACATGAAGCCTCTGGAGAGAGATCGCTGCATATTGTAGTTTGGCCTCAATGATAATTTCTAACCCAACGGCAGGAAGTTTGGTGAAATCAGTGCCTTTATATTCCTTTTTTACAGCGAGCACCAAAGCATTCAGTTGAAATTCTGCCTCGGTCAACAGAATTCCCTGCCAAAAAAAATGTTAGAGGAACAAATAAGCAATATTCTTCTAACTTGTACCATCCAATTAATAATAATAATAATCCTTGTATTTGATACAGAACCTTATCATGTCTTATAGACGTCTCAAAGCGCTTCACAGAATATACTGTAAAGTGAATTGACTGTATATTTTTGTGGGCAACATGAGGCAGCCAATTGTACACAGCAGCGTCCCACAAACAGCTGTGGAATGAGTGACCAAATTATTATTGGTTATTTTGGGGGGAGGGTTTTCCCTGGAAAAGCGATCCGCCAATCGACTAACAACCAGGTTCCTCCTTACTGCTACAAGTGTGTGGGGTAAGGAAATTGCCAAAGGTTTTGCCCCGCTGGAAACAGAACCCGAGTCCTCTCGCTTGTGAGGTGAATGCTCTAACCACTGAACTACAGGACTCTGCACTTAAATCCACAGTGGATCAGGTATCATCATTACCTTCAGTTTGGACGGAGTCATCATCTTGTAGGAGAGGAGATCGATTTTCATGTTTTTTTGCACTTTTCTCTCATATTGTGGGTACAATTGGATTTCGGGGCTGTGTATGTTCAATGATGAGATGAGGCATAGCAACATCAAGATCTATAACTCTGTCTTCTTTATGGAATATAAAAAGGTAATGGTGTACGCAAGGGACAGTAGTTATCACAACCAAATGAAAATGACTTGACAACTGGCTACTGAAGTGACTCACAATGCTATAGTGCTCCCATGACATGACACTGTGCTGCAGATAAATGACTCTGACCAAACTGCGTACTGGACTGTCCTGCTGGACATTATGTTTTAAGCTCCATTATATAAAATTATATACTTTTATCAACTAACAAACTAATAATTTAATGCGTTATATTCCGCAGGAAGAGACATCAGCAGGAACCTTACAACACAGAGATCAGCCATTTGTAAAATCAGAGATCATTGAAAATCAAACAAATTAAAATAATAATAACCACTGCATTAGATACAGCGCCTTATCACGTCTTCGAGACGACTCAAAGCGCTTCACAGAATATACTCTAAAGTGAATTGACTGTGTATTTTGTGGGTGAAACGTAGCTGCCAATTGCACACAGCAGCGTCCCCACAAACAGCTGTGGATTGAGTGACCAAATTATTATTATTTATTAATTTTTTTTGAAGTGATTATTATCCCTGGAAAGTGATCCGCCAATCAACCAACAACTGGGTTCCTACTTACTGCTGGGTAAACAGAGGTGTGTGGGATAAGGAAACTTGCCCAACATTTTGCCCTGCCCGGGGAATCAAACCCAGGTCCTTTTGCTTGCAGAGTGAGTGCTCTAACCACTGAGCTACTAAGATTCCAAGAAATGTCAATTAAAGGTAAATATTATCCATCAATAATTAATAAGACACACCCCCACCCTGAGCATGTCTTTTAGGTGGTCCTAAGAATTAATTAAAATATATATAAATTACTGATAACAAATTACCTTCAATAGTTTGCCTGGGTAAGCTCTGACTTTCTTCACTGATAGTTGTCGGCAGCTGGTGTATGGTTTCAGCAATTTTGATGAGAAAATGCGTTTGAGCAATTTTAAATTTATTCATAAGACGTGAACCATAAAGTTTACACAAGTCCGGGGGCGGACTGCTGTTAAGTAATTCCTGGAGTACCTGTGGAGTAAACAGTGAAAGGATAATAATAATAATCCTTGCATTTGCTATAGCACCTTATCACGTCATCGAGACGTCTCAAAGCACTTCACAGAATATACAGTAAAGTGAATTGACTGTACATTTTGTGGGCGAAACGCAGCAGCCAATTGTGCACAACAGCCGTGCATTAAGTGTCTACTATTATATTTTTTTATTTTTTTTAAGGGAAGCGCTCTGGGGATAATAATCCTAGAATAATGATAGAATTTATTTGCAACTGGATGTACTTCAAATGAATGAGAACTTAAACAAAATCCAATGAAATGCTACCTCAATCATATAGTGATTCAAATATTTACCATGATATTGTTCTCAGCCATCAGTGATTTTGTATTGTGAAATAACATTTGATTCTACAAAAGAGAGAGAGTGTTAGCAATGTGACTACATGCCTATAATGCTTCACTAATATGTCCTATCTCTATAAAAAGAGCAACCAAAATACACAGCATGCCACACCCAGAATGACACACGCCAGGATTTACTCACAGAGTGAGAGACAGCAATCTGAGGCATGTTACTGTGGGGATAATAATAATAATAATAATCCTTGCATTTGATGCAGCGCCTTATCAGGTCTTCGAGGCGTCTCAAAGCGCTTCACAGAATATACTGTGAAGTGTAGTGACTGGGTATTTTGTTGGCAAAACAAGTCAGAAGGGTTGTGGGTTCAAGACTCACATCAGAACTTGGAATCACATAGTCTAAGCTGACACTGCAATGCAGGAGGAGATGTTTTCTTACACAGAGCGCAGAAGCCTGGAGGGGACACATTTCTGGAACACTCTCTCACAACATCTAGTGGACAGTGTTTGAGTAGCATGATATGGGTGAAATGGATGAAACTACAGGAACAATAATAATAATCCTTACATTGGTACAGCGCCTTTTATGTCAGGAAGCCATCTCAAAGTGCCTCACAGGATACACTATAAAGTGTTATGACTGTGTGCTTTGTGGGCAAAATGCAGCAGCCAATTTGAGCATAGCAATGCCCCATGAAGTAAGTGACCAATTTTATTTGGAGGATTGTTGGCCAGGAGACCGGGAGAGAGAGACTCCCTTCTCTTAAAATATTGCCATGGGATTTTTAACGTGAATAGGCAGACAGGACCTTGGTTTAGTATCTCATCTGAAGGACGGCACCACCTGCTCTGCATTGGAGAGTCAGCTCCGATTATGTGAGTTCCACATTCCAATGTAGGGCTTGAACCCACAACCTTCTGGCTCAGGTGTGAGAGTGCTACCACCTAAAGGGGAAGGCTAGAAAATATCTGATTCAACAAAAACTGAAATGAATTAAATTAATTACAAACACTCTAATGTAAATTAAATACCTTTGACTCAACGTATTTGAAACAGCCCAGAATTCTATGTGGAACCTTTTCTCCATGAACCACAACACTAAATTCTTTAAAAGCTTCTGCAAAGAACGCCAAGTCTGTCAAAACCTTTATCTGTCAACAGAAAAATAATATCCACTCAAAATTATCATGTAGTATGCTAACAGTTCATTTTAACATAATACAATCAAAACATTTCAACAAAACATATCCTCCTTGGAATATCAGGATCAACAACAAATTACATTTGTAACCTATACTCTTAAGCGTGGTGATGGGTTTCTGAATGTCAGATACCCAGCTGACCCCCAAAAAAACATGACTGAACCTGAATAAATATTAGCAACGTTAGAGGCTTTACCAAACATGTAGAATGATGAATTTCACTGTCATATAATAATCCTTGCATTTGATACAGCGCCTTATCACGTCTTTGAGACGTCTCAAAACGCTTCACAGAATATACTGTAAAGTGGAGTGACTATATTTTGCGGGCCAAGCACAGCAGCCAATTGCATACAGTAGCGTCCCACACACAGTCGTGGATTGAGTGACCAAATTATTATTTTTTGTTTGTAGTCATACAAAACATCATACTTTATGAGATAAACTCAAACACACAATCTGTAAATGTTAACAGCTCTCAGGGTCTTCTTACCTTAAGAATTCGTCCTTCAAACTCCTTTGCTTGTCATGGCAGATTGTGGTGACAAAGTATTGATACAGTGTGAACAAAGGTAGAGCCTGGTGTGTATAATACATATACGTTATTAATTATGCTCATATTCTGAAGCAGACTGTGTATCTTAAATAATAATAATCCTTCTATTTGATATAATAATAATCTTTGTGTTTGATATAGCGCCTCATCACGTCATTGAGACGTCTCAAAGCGCTTCACAGGATATATTGTAAAGTGGAATATATAGCATCTTGTCATGTCGTCAACTGATACGACTTATGTGAGATTTACTGTAGTATAGAATCATAGAATCTTACAGCACAGAAGGAGGCCGTTTGGCCCATTGCGACTGTGCCAGCTCTTTGGAAGACCACTCAATCAGTCCCCTCGCTTGAAAATTTACTCAAAGTCGTGAAAATGTTTCCTCTTCAATTCCCTTGTGAAAGTCGTTATTGAATCTGCTTCCACCACCCTTTCAGGCTGTGCATTTCAGACCGTAACAACTCTCTGGGTAAAAGCATTTCTCCTCATCTCTCCTCTAATTCTTTGGCCAACTACCTTAAATCTGTGTCCTCTGATTACTGACCCACCCGCCAGAGAAAACAGTTTCTCCCGATCTACACTATCAAGGCCCCTCATCATTGTGAACCTCTATTAAGTCTCCCTTAACCTCCTCTGCTGTAAGAACAATCGCAGCTTCTCTCTGCCTCTCCACATAACTAACGTCCCTTTAGTAACTGTAAGATGTACTTACCAATAAGTATTGCCCAGTGCGATGCAGCTCATATAGCACGAATCTCAAACTGCCCACCACTGAGCGTACATCAATTCTGAATCGATCGGAGAAAAGATCAATTCCAGGAATCAGCTCATGTGTCGGCCATCCATCGCCTATTTCATACGATGCATATTCATAATCTGCCCTGGGATAGGGGAGGGTGGACCTGAACAGACTCTGTGGCCAGAGAGAAAGTGACAATGTTACAGTTAGATTGTTCGCTATTCACATCACACGTTTGTAACGCATATTTCAACTGTGACTTTGGTTAACTTCCTACCCCCGCCCTCCCTGCCCTCCACCCCTCCTGATCCCAACCCTCAGCTTGGGTCCAAGTCCTTGACTATCCAGTGCCTTGGGACGTCCTCTCGACGTGAACAATTCTCCAGATAAACTGGACCATCATTTCACAGCTGTTTGTGAGATCTGCTATGTGTAAATGTGAGACGGTTCATTATAAAATTCTAGGCACCATACACAGTGTGAGGTTTGTTATAACCGTTACTTTACCTTAAAAAGCAGGGCTGATACAAGGCAGCAATCCTGTCTGAACTTCAAATCTGAAGATGCAAAATACCTAAATCATAAACACAGGGTATTAATAACATGATAAACTACTTATACTGAACACCAGAACCAGAGGCCATGGCCTGTGATTGAAGGGGGGTAAAATCAGAACAAATCTGGGGAACCACAACTTCAGGGAGCGAGCAGTAAACATATGGAACAGGCTCCCTAGGGGGACAGATGATGGAAGCAGAAAATGTTGTTTGTTTCAAGAACAAATGAGCTAGATTTCTGTTAGGAGATAATATCTGGAGGTACATTGTACAGTTTGGCACACGACATGTCAAGCGACAGCCAGGATAGTGGAAGGCGAATGAGTTGGGACGTCCTCCCGACGTGAAAGGGGCTTTACAAATGTAATTTTGCTATTGTTGTTGAAGATGGACCTCGGTCCTCCTGCGTCCAGCAAATTCTTACGTTCTAACTGTGTATTTTAGAGAATTCTTCAATTCAGGTGGAGGAAATATTGTCAGTACTTCTGAGAATAGTAGTTAATGTAATTCATCCAGTTTTCCAGTTCCTGACTGTCCTGACAGCTGATAGTCTGGGTAAATGATTCAATATTTTTTAAGTGAAATTGTTTGTGAAAGAGTTTTCGTAATGAAATATTCTTTTAATTGGGGTGTCATAAACCCCTTTCCATAAATGAAACTCTAATTTAGTTCATTTAGGGAGACAACAGAGAGACATTAAAAGGTTGAAACCGAAGTAGATTTGAGCTTAATAAACAAATAATATTACAACATCAAGATTTCAAAAATTGGTATGAAATAATTGGTTGTTATAATCTGGAATGCACTGCTTGAAAGGCTGGTGGAAGTAGATTCAATAACTTTCAAAAGGGAATTGGATAGGTACTTAAAAAGGAACAATGTGCAGGGCTATTGGGTAAGAGCGGGGGAGTGGGGACACTAGTTGGTAGCTGTTTCATTTAGCCAGCACAGGCACGATGGGCTGAATGGCCTCCTTCTGTGCTGTAAGATTCTATATATATAATTCATTGTTAATGTATTTTGCTGTTAGATAATACTCACTGCGCTATTTTAGCAGTTAAGACTCCAGCGAGCAGACAGCCCCAGATCCCAGCTTGGTCTAAAAATATTTCACTGTAATCTCTGGAGGTTTTCAGTGACTCGATACCGCTGTTCACTTTATCTTTTTCAAGTGACGCCAGTTGCTGAGAAAGTTCGTCATATCTAAAGCTGCATCAACAGCCTTGCACCAACACATGAAAGATGATCTGTAAGAAATACAAAGCCATCCAATTTATTCATGTAACAGCCAATTAATCCTCTCACTGGCAGAATAATACCTATTCTTAATAATATTAATAATAATAACGTCCTCCCGACGTGAAAAGCGCTATATCAAATGCAAGGATTATTATTATTATTATTATTATTATTATTATTATTATTATTATTATTTAACAATAACTTACACATGAACTTGTATTTGCGTTTGTCCAATTATTGTGTTTTGTTATGTGCTAAGCTCTATATGAACAAAGTCTATACAAAAAGGTTCTTACTTAATGCGAGTTCTTTCTTTCAAGACTTAAAGTGAAGTAAAGCGATAATAATCCTTGCATTTGATACAGCGCCTTATTACGTCATCGAGACGTCTCAAAGTGCTTCGCAGAATACACTGTAAAGTGAATTGACTGTCTATTTTGTGGAAGAAACGCAGCAGCCAATTTGCACACAGCAGCGTCCCACAAACAGCCGTGGATTCAAGTGACTAATTTATTTATTTTTTTGAAGGGATTATTACTCCCGGAAAAGTGATCCGCCAATTGACTAACAAGTGGGTTCCTACTTACTGCTGGTAAACAGAGGCGTGTGTGTGTGTGTGTGTGCGTGTGGAGTAAAGAAACTTGCCCAACGTTTCGACCTGCTCGGGAATCAGACCCAGGTCCTTTCGCTTGTGAGGCGAGTGCTCTGACCACTGAACTACAGGACTCTAAATATCATGAAATCAGACACATTTCTTTTTAAAAAGTCTAAAAAACAGTTTAATTACTCGTTCAAATCCTTAACCAAGTGAATAAAAACTGAAAGCAAGATCACCTTTTGTTTCCTGCACAGAAATGCAGGTTTCCGAGTTCATGTAAAGCCTGTGCACTCAGCGAGTTCTGTCTGTGTGCTTGAAGCAGCTCTGTGCACAATCATAAGAGTAAACATTTTTACATAAAACATGACATTTAAACATAGACGTCTACAAATCCATTCATGCCCTGGCACCTCACTACATCTCTGACCTGCTTACTCCCCAGGCCACTAGCCGCTGCCTCCGCTCAGCTGGCTCTGACCTCCTGCTTGTCCCTCGTCCCCTCTGCCCCACCATCAGCGGCCGGGCATTCAGCCTCTCTGCCCCCACCCTTTCGCACTCCATCCTACAGACCCTTCCACTTGCCCCCTCACTTGCCTCCTTCAAGGCCCGTCTCAAGACCTTCCTATTCGACTGCGCCTTCGGTCACCTTCCTACCCCCACCCTCCCCGCCCTCCACCCCTCCTGATCCCAACCCCCAGCTCAGGTCCAAATCGCTGACTGTCCAGTGCCTTGGGACGTGTGAGGCGCTGTGTAAATGTCATTTGTGTTGTACAAACAGTTATATTTTCACACGCAATTTAAAATAACAAATCAATAATAAAAATGAATGAACTTACCAATAGTTTTATCATAGGATGAAATGGGCAGCGAGAGGCTGGACTCAGGTACAGGCTTAGATTGGATGGAGTCAAATGAAAGGAACTCTTCATTTGAAAAGTCAGGTGTACAGCTTTCAATATGAGCTGTTCCTAATTTGAACCCAATGGCTTTAGGCCTTGTGAGTTTTTCTAAAATGTACATAAACAGAAAAAGCATTATAACTGATCGTTGTTAGCTTTATTTTACTATTATTATTATTAATAATAATATTAATCCTTGCATTCAGTAGCACCTCATCACTTTGAAACATCTCAAATGCTTTACATTAGTAACTGTTTTGCATGGTGACTGCATGTGTAGAGGAACACAGCAGCCAATTTGTGCACAGTGATGTCCCACAAACAGCCAGGAGGTGAAAGATCAATTT